TATGGTCTCGTATGCATGAATCATGGTTTCTTTTATTATGGTTGGTATTATGCTTAACCCGATACTGTGTTGTCTTGTTTGGTGTCCATTACTAGTTTACATATTGTGTGTATTTGGATGATTGAAACCAAGAAAAATGGCAAAAAAGTTATGTGAATTGATAAGTGGATAATGTGGACAGCCTGACTAGATATCCTGAGAGATGGTGGACGGACCGGCTGTAACGGCCCCAGAAATTTTAAAATGAAATATTTGTATTAAAAAGGTCAAATGCGGAAGCGTAATAAAAATTTTGATTAAACATCCCTTACACTAAAACCAAAAACGTGCTCAAAGTATAAAAGAACAAACTAACTAAAAGAGAAACTCGAAAATAAAAGCTATAAATATGACTACGGAGTCTTCAGGCGTCCCCTTCGCCGTCTTCTTACGGAACGGGCTCGGGAACAATGTCTTCCTGATCTGAAATGATTAAATAAGGAATGAGCTACACCAGCCCAGTAAAGACATCACACTATCTCACCGTCACGGAGGTAAAGGTGGGTAGAAAACACAAAAGGACCAATGGAGCATAGTTTACAACAAATTCTTTTATCAATAATAAAATCTTTTACTATCCACTTATCTCAGTGAAATTCATAAAACAATATACGAAAGCAATAACATTATCATCATCACGAAATCATAGAAACTGTATAACATAATACTTATCACGCCTTTTGCATCTCAATCATTACACGACATATTTTTCCTTATTTACCAACCTACTAGTATCCATGGGGATCCATAGGGGTCCCGCTACCCGTGAACCCTTAACACTTGTAATAAGATTCCAGGGCCGTCCCCATACCCCGTCCGGTATGGGTGCCAAAACTATAAACCTCAATACCCCGTCCGGTATGAGGGTGAAACGAGCCGTCCCTATACCCCGTCCAGTATGGGCGCCAAAACACATAAGATCTCCATACCCCGTTCGGTATGAGAGACCACGATCCCGGTAGGGTTCCCTACGGACCCGGTCCGTCCACCATCTCCCCGGATATCTAGTCAGGCTGACCACATTATACAATTATCAATTTACATAACCTTTCATTCCCCTTTTCCTCAGTCAGCATCATCAATTCGCAAACAAACAAGCAAACCAGTAATTTATGCCAAACAATACAACATACAACATCGGGTTCTCAGTCATTCAACCCATAATCAATAAAACAGTGATATGTGCACACGAAACTATGAAATGAAAACAAAAGACCTCATACTGCATTTAAAATCGTAAAATAGGTCAAACAACAGCTAACGGACAAACACACCAGACTCGGGCTCCATTAGCGACCTTAAACAATTTCACACATCTGTTGATTCATGAAATACCGTTTTATCATTTATTGAACTTTAATACCGTGATAGGAAGTAGGGTGAGGGGTCCTTACTCGTTTCGGGGTCCGAACACGGCTCCACAATGCGCCTACAGGCTGTTCCTAATTTTTCCTGAATTTTTTCTGGGGAACTGAAACGCACTACTGGTACCTGCATGTGTCCCAAAAAATCTCAAATTAGACCCAGGGCCCCTTTCGGCCAATATCGCAATTCCGACACGGCGGCTCCGCCGTGCTCCGGCGACGGCGCCGCCGTTTGCGTCGGCGATTCGCCTCGGGTTGGCCGTTTTTGGCCGTTTTCTGCCAAATTCGGCCACACTTGCATCGGTCCCTACGATAAAACAACCCTAGGGCCCTCGGGGGGCCAAAAAATTACGAAAAACTGAAGCTTACCGGCGGCGGTGCTCTCGGGTGCGGCGGCTCTCCGGCGAGGTTCGTGTTCTGGTGATTCGGCTCCGATCAACCTGTAGAGAAAAGAATGGTGATCACGGTGATATAAAAATTGTATCAAACGGAGGCCGGGAAGGGTCTCATCCGAGGCAAAAACTGAGGAGGGGTGCGGCGGCGCCGCTGGGTTTCGGCCGTGTTTTCTGGCCGTTTGGCTGGGATTTTGGCTCCGATTTGGCCACAGGGGTACTCAGCGTGGAAAAACGAGTCGGAGGTATGAAATTTACCTCGATCGGCGGTCGAAAAACTTCCCGGTGCGGCGGCGGGTGGCGGCGGCCGGCTCCTCCAACGTCTGGTTCGTCTTCTCCTGCGAGGGCAGGCGGCTAGGGTTTTTGTGGTCACGTGTGGGGGTTTTATTTATACCCTTTTGCCTTTCGATCACAGCCGTCCATTTTGGTTAAATCTGGACCGTCTGTTCTTGATTGAATCTGGGTCGTCCGTGCGCATGCATCTTGGCCGTCCGTGCGATTGCATCTGGGCCGTCCGTGCGCACGCTTGATCTGGGT